TATGCATGTATGCATGTATGCATGATGTGCGCATGCATGTATGTATGTATGTCTGTCTGTGTATGTGCGTACGTATGTATGTACAGGTCTATGTCATGTATGCATGTAGGTATGTATGCATGTCTGCACGTAATAAACTGTTGATTTCCAATCTGCCCCAACTGGATTCCAACCCAAAGCGTCCCAGGAACAATTGGGTCGCCGGGCAAGGCGTCTTGTACCACGGGCCAGAGGCAGGGTAATGGTCTGAACGCTGCGCTGTGTAGCGAGGTCTACGCAGAAACTGCATCGAGGAATGCCAAATCCACTATCAGTTTGGATTGGAACTGGAAAGATGGCACGCGAGGCACTTGGCCTCAAGGTCGTCGAATTTCGGGGTGGCCGAGCTTGGGCACCTGTGCGAAAAAATGGTGTCATCCCCCATCGTCATCCCAACTCATCAAGGCGATCCACAGCTACATGCACATCAGCATCGGCAGAATACATCGCCACCAGCAGCACCACCATCATCATCAGCATCGTTACAATGTACAGCATAGACACAGCCACTAACCATCAGCACTGCCCTCTGCTTTCCTCATCATGTGCATTGCCATCTTTAAAGTCCATCGTCACCATAACTTGATGTTACATCACCATCGTCGTACCATCATCATTATTTTGCTTAATAGTCTTTGTCTTGATTATCGTCTCCATCGTAACCAACATCACCTTGTCAGCGCCACATTGCCAAGCATGTTTCGACCCAGCTGAAATTTAGTCATAATTTCGGCGATCAGAATCATCAAAACTACCGGAAAGAAAAGCGGCACAGCTGACGAACATCCAGCGGACCTAGCGAGACATGTCGATGAGGACCCCCGAGGCTCAGCAGCGTTCTTCACATTGCAGCTTCCCTCCGGAAGCATTTCACTTTGAAGGCAGCCAAGTGGCCAAGTCCCAAAACTCCCACCTTGAGTCCTGCATGCTCCGCCTGCGGAACTCTTGAACAATCTGAAAGACAGCTGATGACGCTCCAGTCTCAGCCTTTGACCGGGAAGCTGAGAGTCAGCGCCGCCGCGTAAAGATCTGGACCGTTCACCCTTGGACCTCTGAGTTCACGTTCTCGAAGACTCCCATAGCCCAAGGGGAAACTGCAAGCCCCGAGCGAGGTGAAAAAGCCCCGAGCTCCAGCATGTCTGAGGTGTCCTTGAGCAACCTTGCGTGGGTATTGCAACCACAGCAGTGCTGTGCAACTCGGCACGGATAGCACGGGAGCTCCGCAGTGTTTACTGTAGCCTTGCGTACACAGGGTTTCGGGTAAAGTAAAGTGCACGCAAATTCGACCATTGGAACAAAGCAGTGTCTCGGATTTTCGATTCAATTCTGGGGGACCTTGGCCTGGCTGGGACAGGGCCCAGTCCCGACAGACCGAAGGTGCGAACTCCGCCACACCCGACATGCCAGGGGTCCCGGAGCCTGCCTGTAGTCTCACACTGCAACCTCAAAGCCTTCAGTGCCCTGAGTATACATGTAGGCTCAGACCCCAAGCTTCGTTCAGTTTCGTTTCAAAGCCTGAGACCCAGCACTTTCGGACGTGACGAGGAGCTCGCCACCGGCATTTCCTGGGATGAGCCCGGCCTGCAATTAGCTGAATGTCGTAGGTGGCTGCAGTCGCTGCAGGCTTTGGAGGCTTGGTTCCAGGCTTGGGCTTTCGGTGTGGCCGTGTGGCTTCGGCGACAGGACAAGTTGAGAATCGGCAGGCCTGCGCTGTCGTAATCCGGAGTCTATTGAGACGTTAGCAGTGTTGTTCGTATTACTTAAACAACGTCCCGTGAACGCAACAATGACATTGCTTGTCTGACGAACTTGTCGCATCAGCGAATCCACGAGGGGAATCTGATTAAATCACTAACAGAGTATGCCAGGCACTTGTGGCCAGAGGCACCGCCTTCTTCCCACGGAATTCGAAAACAACCTAGCCTAGCCGAAGCCAACCTCTGAACCCCACCATCCGCACACTGCCCGCACGTATCTCTGAGCTTCTTGAGCGCCTCAAGCCCTAACCGGGGCTACCCCTCCAAAAGCCATATGCCCGAGCCAGTGAGGAGATGCAGCGACAGGAGCAGTCCTGCCCTGAGTGTGGCTTTAGAGTTGTGGGTTCGGGGATTTAGGTTACGAGTAAGGCTTAGAAGGATTAGAAGGGTGTAGGGTTCGAGTTCGTATGATTTTCATGCGGTGCCGGTCCTCCAACGCTCAATGCCGTTCGCCCCAGACATCCACTCGCAACCTGTCTCCTGCAGACGCCTAAGCGCGGGTTCCGTTCAATGCCAAGCCCCAAAGACCTTGAGTTGATTGAACCCCACCAGTGTGGGGTGTAGCTGCCCGAGGGAGATTCCTGGCTGGCTGTATTTTGCTTGCCCAATCTTATTCCCAATTATTCTCCGATGTCTAGTGCCCAGAGTACCTAATGTAATGTCACAATCGTATATCCAAGTCCAAGTTATTCATAGTCTGAGTTCCGATTACGGTACTGCCGGGGAGGGGCAAGGACGGGAACGAGGCGGGGTGGACAATCAACAGTGTGGCGCGGGAAAGATCAACTGCATTTTGGGTGGGGAGCAAATAGGGGAACCGGGTCGGGGTTCGAAAATTTGGAGAGACCTCAACAAATAGCATGCTTCGAAGCATAGCTAGATAGCCGAAAAATCTGACCTGTTCCCATACTTAGTTGGAGACCACCAGAAGCTGTGGGCTTCGGGCGTGCCCCTTGTTTATGTCCTGGTTGAGTCGCTGCAAACCAGATGCAAAAAAAAGTTGGAGACCACCGGAAAATATTTTGGAGTCCAAGCTGTCAAACAAACATGTCCAACAAAGTGCTACAAGCTGAGCGCGCCCGTCGCTCCTAAATGCCCGAAACCCTGATCCCAGGGATATATCTTGAGGTCTCTCTTGGAGGAATCCAAATGGAACACCAACGACGGTCAAGGCGCCGGGAGCCAGTCGCGGCTACAACGGTTGTGGCTCGGCAAGATTTGAAGCTTGAAGGAAGTTGGGCTACAATGGAAGGTGCATACCGATTCCCAAAACCTGCACAGACCTCTCGGCACTGCCGTGGGTTCTACCCCAAGTGCCTGACATGCTTCGTTTGGGCTTGCGGGATCAGCGGTCCAGTGTAATTGCTTGTTTGCGCAAGCAAGCTTCCAACATCAACAGACGAGAGTTTGGCCCCCAACTCCCGCAACACCCTATAGGTGAAACAGCAAAGTATCTTGCTCGCAGTCGACTTGCCCTGAGCGAGAGAGGGCAACAACTTGCAAACAGACTGACCCAGCTTTATCCCCCACAGCTTTACTTCATTTTCACAACTACCAGCACCCCACCAGGAAGACCCTCGCGAAATATTTTCTGGCGCAACTACAGCTTCTGGACGACATGGTAAAGGAGAAGAACTGCATGGGTGGGTTTAGGGTTCAGTCCTCTTTCAGGCATGTATACGCGTTGCTGGGCCCTTTCATGAGATGCAGGACTGGGGCCGAGCCAGGTCAGTTTCCTACACTTATTCTGCAACACATGCGACAATGCGACAGTAAACTTTCCGGGTTGTAGTCGAAACATGGGCACCGTGCTACAGTAAAAATGCGACATCGGCAATTGTACTGTAACAATCCCACTACGGTTGTATACTGTATGCATACTAGATATTATTATGACATTGAAGCATAACATTTTATAGTTCTAAATGCTATTATGACACTAGTACACATGCTATAACAGTGCTAGAAGATACCGCATGCTACATGCATGACTTCGGGGGAAGAAGAAGTCTCGGCCTCAGGCTGCTTGAGCCACGGACTGCGTTGATACCGGAACTTCCTCGCTGACGAGTATCGTACTTTGGGTTTAGGGTTTTGGGCACAAGCCAGTTGCAAAAGGGTTTAGGGCAGGATCCTAGACGATCCCCGGTGTGATGCAACAGGAGCGGCAGATGCATTGCATTATGACGCTGCAAGAGGAGTACCCCTGCGGCTTGTGAAGGGGCGTAGCAAGACACCATCTGCTGCAAGCAGTTGTGCTTCAGCCCTCGGATGGTCGGTAACATGTTTAGTCCGGAGCAACCCCAAGCCACCAAGCTTTTGAATTCCCTTTCCAAACCGTGCTTGTTTGGAGCCCAGCCCATGCAGGGCATCAATTTTCACAGTGGAAGCTCCGGGCATGATCTCTCAGATACTGCACTCTACCATAAGCCCGAGCAGTTGCAAAGGCGTCGATACCAGCGACGGATATATTCCCTGCAGGTACTCCTACAATCTCTGTCTCTGTGGAGCCTCGGACCCGCGGCTGCCAACGACCTTCCGTGTGACATGCCAGAAAAGCGGGAGCTTTCCGGTTTAGGGTTTAGGGTGTAGGGTTTAGGGTCTCGTTAAGCCGAAAACCTCGAGGAAACAACTACAAAGGCTGCGAGAGAATCACAGCTTCATCTCAAGACAGCGGGAAGGGTCGGAAAGGCAGAACGACAACATCAGCCTAGTATCCTGCAAGTCATTCCACTTCAACTTCCAGTGCGTTGTGGTATATGCACATGAGCCTCAATCCGACCCACCGCCAGCAGCACAAGCTCCAAAAGTTTCCGAAGTTAAGGCGGCTTTCTACAACCTGCTGATCAGCATGTGGCTGGATCGGTGCTCTGAAGCAATGAGTTGCGCGGGTTCATTGCATTATCGCAAGTATAGGGTGGGAGCCTAGCTGCTTCGCTCGGACTTGCACGTAGAGAAAACGTGGGATATATGGTCTTTCTTTATGAGGCAGGCAGATCTTTCCATGCTGACAGCCCAAAGCCTTGAAACATGAACCCTGCATCTCCCCGACTCGGGTTCCTGCTTTTAGTATTCTGACTCTTGCTTTACAGCCATGAACCAGGAAACCTCAACACTTCTCTCCGAAGTTCCAAAGGCTCCAAGATGAGTCCCAAATCCTCCCTTCCCTAGCCTTAGCCTTAGACTCCAAATTGCAAGCTCGGCAGAAGCAGGTACCCCCATGCCTTTATCGCAGTTCCGGCCTTGATCCGCAGCTTCGACGCATCGCTGCAATTGAAGGCGCCATGGTTTCTGCCTCCTAGCGCAGCAAGATTTGGATGCTCTCCCCATCGAAACGAAGCAAGACCAGCAACGACAATTGCAGCGGCAACATCGTTAACAGTGTGGGGCAGGAAGAGCAAACGACCTCAATGACGACTGCGAGTGTCAACAATTCA